CTGCCTATGTAAATGCTAAATAACAATTTACTTAATTTTAAATTTCTTATATTTCTAACTAATAATTGGATAACTGCATTTTGTAAAGCAGTGAAAGCATTTGCAGGTCTAGGGGAGGAGTCCAGAGGGTCTGGACCTCCCACCCATCCATTTTTTCCCCAGAAATTAATTACTGCATTATTTTGTGTTGTTTAATCAGGCACGGATCTGGGGTAGTCCAGGGGACAAACCACCTCTGCCATTTTTTTTTTTTCAGAAATTATTAACTATTATTTATGTTGTATAAGTAGGAATGAATTTTGGGAAGGGTTGTTCTAGGGATCTGGAACCTAATGTTTTCAGAAATAACCATATTTTTTAACATTGAGTAAGCAGTTTAATAACTGTGTTATCTAATGTTTTATATGTAAATGTTGATCTAGGGAGTGAATTCCCCACCCCAAAAATATTGTTCAGAAATTAATGTAACCAAGAGCTAGACATCCTAACACTAAAGTGTAATATCAAAAAGAAACATAAGATGTCAGTGTTTTTATATTACCATAAAATATTTGTTGAGGTTTTATGAAAACAATACAGCTGGAGTAAACAGCAATCCAGTTAAGGCTTCAACCAAAGTATCTAATTATTTCTTAGCTAATACATCAATATGAACATCATTTAAATGTTGTCATGGTAAATTCTTGTTCCTTGACTTTTTCCAGACACTATGAATGTGTCTAGACTTTAGATATTGGATTTTAATCAAAGTTAGTATTATTTAAAGTGCACAACTCTTATAACATAGACTTATTACAGAATCAGTTTTTCATTCTCTAGAAGTTAGAATTTTCATGAGAAAGTGTGTTTTCATAATGTTGAAGTTTAAAATATGTAAAATTGCACGTTGTATGACTGTTTAAGTAAGACTTTTAAAAATTAAAGTGAAAACAGACACTCTGTTTACCAATGCTATAATGTTTTTCTTAATATTGTTATAAATAGTTTTAACTATTTAGTTTTAATTAAAATATTTAAATGTTTGTTTCTAACTGCTTTTGTTTTCATATCGATCACATTACTAGAAATATAGAAATATGCTTTGAGCTTTAAAATTTCTAGATTATAACTTGTTATGGTGTGAATGCCTTTTCCAAGCTGGTGAAGCATGTTTATAATTAATTATATTTATCATATGACATTAGTATTAGGCCTATTGTATTTTTTAATTATTTTAATTTTGTTTGACTTTAGGACTATATAGTCAACATTGATTAATTTAAAATACTATATTTTTTATAGTGGAAGTCTCTTCTTTCATATAAAAAATATTGAAACTTTTGTTTGGTGCTACACAGCTAACTTTTAAAAAGTTAAGTATTATCATACCATCATTGTAAAAATTAAACATTGCTGCAGTTAATGTGGAGAAGTTAAACATTTTTATTCATCGTTAACACAATAAGGTGAAATTATCGACTTTCTAGTTATATTCTTATTCATTCCCTAATGGTTTTCATGCTTTGTAAGATAACAAGTAGTGAAAGTTTTATTTTACAAAATAAATTGATGTTATTCTAATTTGTATGTTGTTTGACTTTAAATCTATGTTAGTTAACAGATACCAAGAAAACTAGGTTTTTACTTGGGCTAAGTACTTGTTTGCCTAATAAATAAAATGAGTTATGATTATTCGTTTTTTTTGGTTGGTTACAAAGCATTTGAATAATTGTGTAGCTAAGACCTAAGACCCCAATGTTATCCTAAACACACTTTTAAATATGTAAAACAATATTGGATTGTTTGGAATAACAAGTGTAGAAAAGTGTACACAGTATTGTTGCAGTAGGTGACTGATAAGTAACTATGTACTTTATTGTTTCTGAATATTAAGTAATATGATATATGTATGATATGTATGATATATTTTCATGTACAAAGTTTAGAATTAAAAATGTAACTTAAATATAACTTATTATGCCTGAAGTATGAAGGCAAGTTTCCTGTAGTTTTTATTATTTCTTTGCTGTTTGATAAAAATTTTTGAGACAAATTTTAAAGTCAGTATTATATGTTAATTCTAACTACATTTCAAAGTTTTAGCTCAAAATTATTTTATAATCTATATTTAGTCATTTCCTGACATTTATTTAATGTAATTCATATTTCAGTTTATGCACAGTTGCATGTAAACAAAACAACACACTTGTCGATTTGTTTTAGAATTTTTCTTCCCATGAGAAAAAGTACCAGATAACTTGATAATGATTGAATGGGTAACAAATGTACAATGTTTGGAGAAGGTTTTGTCATTATCAAATACAAGATAATTTACCTACACACACAATATATATATAGTATGAAACAAAGAAGTTGCATGACTTGAGATTATTTTAGGTTTAATAAAGGTTTCTTGTTTGTGTTTGGTTCTTTGTTTAAAATTATGGTATTTTTACTTTTTAGTAGATATATAATGGTTTTACGGAGTAGTGATATTTGTAAACAGGAGATTTTTTGTATTATGTTTACCAAATAGAATCTTTATCAAATTGAGTAAGTTTAGTTAAGTTTACTGTTTAGTGACTATGGTAAGTGATAGAAAATATTGTGATGGCTTGTATCTTTACTTAAATATATTGCCTAATTGGCTATGTAATTATTTCTAATTGATAAGTTAATTAAATAAAATCATTATTACCCTTATCAGTACTATTAAAACATGTTTTCATTATTTAATTATCTGTTTATTTGATTTACAGAAGATCAATGTGGGATTACTGCCAGTTTTATAAACAAACATTTGTATTATCTACTATCAGTAGTATTAAAACATGTTTTCATTATTTAATTATCTGTTTATTTGATTTACAGAAGATCAATGTGGGATTGCTGGCAGTTTTATAAACAAACATAATGGTACCACATAGTGGTATTTAGTCAACATTAGTGATTCATTTGCCAAGTAGAAAATATCCATATTATCTTTAAAGAAAATTTATGGCAAAATATCTTTTTATGGCCAAAAAATGTGTTTGTCACAAAATGCACAAATGGTGACCTTCTGATAAGGCCTAATGATATGAAACTAAAGGTAATTAAAAATTATTTGAAAAACAAAGTATGTGAATGAAAATAGGGAGTTTAATACTATGTTAGAATAATGCAGTGGTTAAAAACTACTTATGAAAGCAGCATGTTCACATTTTTTTTTCTTTCCCTGTATTGGAGGAGGGAGTTTTAAGGAGCCTGTACTAATCAAATGTACACAATTATTAATGTATTCTTTGATTAGTTGTGTAGTAGATACCACTAATCACCCAGCTTTAAAAGTGATTAACTTCACAGAGTAGATCACATGGTAACAGTTCTACATCCAAAACCCGGTAACTTAACAACTCGTCTGATGTTCTTGGCATGTCCTGTTTAGATTACATTTCAATGCCACAGAGTATGTGGATATCAGTCAGTTGACATCATGGAAAATTTATGGAAACTTTTCTGAAAGTCAGAAGTAAGATTAAATGCTACTTATGTTTCTGTATTCAGCTTTTTTGACTATAGAATATAAAATAAATATAAGATGTTTCATGTCAAAGAGAGAGAAAGTTTTATACCCACAAGAACTGAATATGGGAATATTGATAGCACTTAAATATTTGCTGTTTAACTGTCTAGCCCCAGGGCTAGATGGGACTGGATATTTCTGAGCTTTAATAGCTTGAAATTATTAGATGCATTGCAATTTTACAGAAGTACAGACACAATCACAAAGGAATTATTTATGAGCATATAAAATCTAATATAGAGAAGTATACAGTAAATATGATGATAACAATAATAATTATAAGTAACACCATAATTAGTATTCTGTGTTTTAAAGACGAATATAGTAGTCAGTAGACTTTTTCTACATCTTTTTTTTTAGAAATGTGATGTAAGCAGTTAGGGGGGGAATTATATAATGACTTGTTAATCATGGTTCAGCACAATTCTGATTGAATCTTCTCCAAGCAGGTGAACAAATATACTAATTACTTTTTTATTATCTTTTCCAGTTTTCTCATTTTTAATTTCATCAAATTAAAGATCTGACCATGGCCCACAAATTATTTTTATTAGTATTTGTTTATTACAAGTGAAAATAGAAGTAATAAAACTAACTATAATATTTTGACAATTGTGTAGCCTATTCTGGCTGTCAATAGCTGAAATACATTCAAAGTCTTCATATGATACTATAACTGAGAAAAATCTTATACCAAACAATCTTTACAACCTAGTAAAACTCTTTGTTACAGGAGGTAATTCAAATTTTGTTGTTCTAAAGCTATAAAAGTACTTGCAAGTGAAGTATTTATGAGTCAATTAGTTGTGAAATCTTTTGGTTGTAACACATGTTAGTTTCAAAAGTAAAATATACTGTGTAAGGTTTTTCAGAATTTATGCAAACCTACTGCAATGTATGTTTTTACTTGCTATGTACTTTTGAATTTAACAAATAGGAACTGATGGTTTCAAAATTATCCACTTCTCTTTTGTTGTATTTTTTTTTTCATATTTTTCTTGAATGCATTGATTTCAAAACAATTCTCATGTACATATATAACGGTAACTAAAAATATAAAACTATCATACACCCAGAAAATCTCAGAACTTTGAAAAAACTTCATTTTTATGAAACAGTAGGGCAATTTCAAGTAACAAATATTGTATGCTTAGTTTATCATATTATTAACAATCAAAATATTTAATTGTACCTTTTTTATGAAGGCAGTAACTCTTAGTTTGACTAAAATAAGAGAAAGAATAACAGAAGAAGGAGTATCAAAAAATATAATTGTTTGAGAAAAAAACAAAAAACAAGATGATCTGCAGAGAAAACATCCACCTGTATATGACATAAATATTGAATTTGGTGTACTAAATGTATATATTGTTTGCATTTCCTTTTGTAATTTTTAACCATGAAATGATAACTCATGAAAATTTATTAATTCTACATGGTTTTGGTTTTGTTTTAGCCTCACCAAGTCCTACTGGATATATGGGAACAACTAGTCCTGCAGGGTTACAAGCTACTCCATCTCCTACAGGCTATGGCTATAGTCCAATGACACCTGGTGCTTCATCACCATTTAACCCACAAACACCAGGCACAGGTAAATCACTCCCTTTATAAAAGGAAAAGATTCTGATATATTTTTCTTAGTGTATTATTTATTTCTACTATTATGCAGTTGTGAGCTCATTTTCAGTAACTGCTGTTTTATCATATAGCTTAGTATTATCAGTTAAAATTTTTGTTGGTTTTATTATCTGTGCTCTCTAGGTATGGAGCATATTTCAGTGGAGTGGCAAACTACAGATATTGAAGTAAGAATACGAGAAACTCACGATGATGATGGTCTTATTGGACAAACAGGCATTATACGAGGAATTTCAGTAAGTAGATCTGTGTATTGTGAAATCTTTGTACTTGTACACAATTTTTTGTATTTCTATTGAAAGAAAAATTATTAATAGATTTGTCTATTTTTTGGTCCACTTTTCTGGCTCAGACCAGTTTTGAAGAATAACACTTCTTATTAGTTATCCAGGGTTATGCTGGACAAAAGGGTTTTTTTGAAGCCCTGTTTAAAGGAATAAATAGATATGATTGGTTTGAAATATGTTTTTATTGGTATACGCTCAACTTTTCTTTAAGTATTTAGAAAGTGGTCACTATTGCAGCTAACATTTGGTTCCTCAGTATTCTTAAAAGGATATTACTATTGCAGGAATTATATATAGCTGTAATTAAAAACTTGAAGAAACATGAATTTAATCACAAAAGGAAAAATCTAGGGAGATTTAGTTTATGCAAAAGTTTTTCCTATGTTTGATGAATTGAGTGAACTGATTACTTCTTATTTGGATTTTCTAATAGATTATCATCAATAGCTTGTTTAAATAATGTTTTATGTTACAGCCTTGTCATTTGCTAATGTTGTGTTAACCTTTCAGGGAGGAATGTGTTCTGTATTCTTGTTGAGAGAAGACAGAGTTGTGAATATTCTCAGTGAACATTTAGAACCTGTAACACCATCAGCAGGCAACAGGGTAAGAAGCTGCATCTGGGTTAAGGATGTAAATATGGAAACTATAAGTAGTTCAGCAAATATTCTAGATATACATGTGGATTTGTGTATATATTTGTTGTTGGTTTTTTTTTACCCGATATTTTAGTAAAAAACGTATTGATGGTTACACCCAAAATGTCTCAACTCTTACTGCCTTTCACTGTCTGCAGTCAGTTGTGGGAAGGCAGTTACCCTTAAAAAGATGTAATAAAGTTAAAAGTAGAAATAAGATAAAATTAAGCCACCCAAAAAATATATATTTCTACCAAACAATGCCTACCGTCCTCCATCCTTAAAATTTCTAAAAAATCCTTAAAGTAGAATAAATACCACCCTAATAATTCTACTACATGTTACTCACATGTGATCTGTGAGTTTTAAGAATTACTGTGTATGTGTATAGTAGTTTTAGAAGTTTCTAGATAAATTTTACACAAAAGTAGTCACCGAAAATGAGGCCTGTCTTGTCATTAATTAGTGGATAAAATTGTCAACACTTGAAGCTAGTTGTTGAATGATTTCTGTCAGTGAAAGTGTGAAAACTTGAAAATATTTAGTTTTTTGTACTGGATGAAAGTGAAGATTTGAATTTTTACAAAAGTGTTTAACAATCTTTGCATGTCATTGTGGACATAACATTGTGATCATTTCTGTGGTCCTGGTATAGAGTGAAGATGTAAACATTTAATATGTGGTCTGTAAACTGTGTAACACACATTGGATGAAAGAAAGTTTGAAGTTTAGAAAAAAAAATCCATGAGTTTCTCAGCAGTTTTTTGTTTTTTTCGAAAAATCTATGTGTAAAATCTTAAATGAAAAATCAACAAAGGTGTATATATTTCCAGAAATAAAAAAGTGATGTTAGATTATCAGTTATTCCACATTCTTAATTAAGATTTAAAGTTTTGATAAGTATTTATGTAAAGGCTTTGTAAGTCATTTAGATTTTTATAATTAGAGAGGCTTGTAAACCTCTATGTATATAAACTGATTTTGTCAACTTCATTATTTAACAAAAAAAAGTATAGTCAAGTTTGACTTTTCAATTTCAAGGTCAAGGTGATCATGGGTGAGGATCGAGAAGCTACTGGCGAACTTCTTACCATTGATAACAATGAAGGAGTTGTGAAAGCTGACCATGGTGGCATCAAGATGTTGCAGCTTCGGTTCTTATGTAAAATGAAAGCTGATTAAGCTCTCTTGTTGTCAGAAGAAATATGATGAAAACTGTACTGTATTTTTGTTGTCTGAATGCTTTTCTATATTAAACTTGATTAACGTGGTTAACTTAAACTTTTAATTGTAGTGATTGTGGAATATTTACTGAATCCAATAAATATCAACATTCAGTAGATTTATTTTTAAAACATGAACGTTTTCCAGTAAGTAATTTGATGGAATTCTGTAAAATGCAACACAATTTTCAGTATAAGAAAAATAACAATAAGAGAACATTGTGAGTAGTAGATGCGAATAATACTGATTACATGTCAGAGAATAATAATAAGAAAAACTTGTCATTAATAATTCTGAGAACTTATAAGTGTCATATCCAGCACCGATGAGGTAGATGTGAATAATGCTGATTGAATGTCAGAGAATAATAACAGTATTAAAGAAAGCATTGAGTTTTAGATGTAAATAATGCTGATTGTGTCTCAGAAGGCCTGACATATTTTGATTAACTTTACAGTTTAAGTGGAATTAGTTTATCAAATATTTAAAGCTTAATGCCAATAGTACTTAAATTTTCATTCCTCACACAATTAGTGTGGAAAGCTTTTATAGAAATATCAGTAGTGCTAAGCACACCCGTTCACCCTCATGTTATATTGTGCTACAGACAAAATGTCTATAAAATTTATACTCACTACTGGTTATTTCATTCTGTGATTTTGGAGTTTTTTTAAATTAACACACTTTTGTAAACGTACGTTCAGTTCAGATGAAATCCTCACATTTCATTTGAACCCTTCATAACTTCCACATGATTTCAGTTAAACTGCTTATAACCTGACTGAAAGATATGTTGTTTTCAAAATGTGATTTATGGATTATTATTAATCGAGATCGCAGGCTTCGCTAGGCACTGGCACACTGGGCCCATACCCAGTATCCACAGTTAGTGTCTTGGAAAGTCAGAATAGAAAATCAGTATCGTACTGAAATGCCGAAATTGCATTTCAATGTAGTAAAGTTAATAAATAGGTGTATTTTCTCCTGATTTTAATATGATTATTAGCAGATAATGTAAAACGTTGTTTACAAATACTTTTCTTCTGAATTGCTGCAGTAAAGTCTGACTTACATCCAGCATATATTTTTCTTTTCAAGTTTTAATTTTCATGATGTGTTTCTTTACATCTATGTCATCGGTGGATTTTTCTTGTCAGTGGCTTGTACAGGCTCTACATGCCATCAGTCTCTTTTATAATTTAAACCTTCCAAAATTTGTGGATACAATTCTCAAATTTCTTGACGAATTCTATTTCCACCATCTTAAATAAAAAATGCTATTAAAGATTAAGTAGTTTTTAATTTTTCATAGACAACTGTGCACTGCCAAAAAGAGTTTTATTTCAGTCTTTTTTTTCTTTTTTTGTGGAGCCATTATTTTGGTTCTAAGGAATTTAAATGGTTTATTTTTACCTGTAAACAATCTCAACAAAACAAAAAAACACTACATTTTGTATATATTTCCCGCCTAAAATGGATAATTATGGTTAAATGTTTTTTCCTTTGGTGAGAACTAATACCAATTGACTAGCATGAGAGGGCGTATACTTTTTAGACTTGATTTGTGTGTGTGTTTATCTTGGGTCTTTGCAAAGTTAACAACAGCTACCTGAACTAGCCGTCCATAATTTTGAGAGACCAGGACGAAAGTAGTTAGTCAAAATCACCCACCGACAACTCTTGGATTACTATAATCAAATAGTGTGGGACTTGGAATCTCCATAGTGAGGGGCGCAATTTTACGGAAACAGGACACCAACCAAAGACCCTCAAGTTCACAGACTGGCATACAAGTGCTTTGATACTATTGATACTACAAGAAATCTTAAAAATGAAATTCACATAATGAAAAACCTTTTTCCTATTAAAGCAGTGCAAATAAGAATAACAATTCTAATTTGTTTCCTTTTTCTTCAACAGGACAGTTGTAACTATTTCGAAATGTGTCATTTCGTTTATATGTTTTATTTGGTATAGATAAACGGGTGTACAAGCTTTACTTGCTACTGAAATAATGTTAGGGAAACCAAGCAGGAAATCAGAAGTGGATCTATTATAACGTCGGTGTTTGTACTTTTGTTGTCTCTTGTTAATTAAAGTGAGACACACAAAAAACAAACTGGTTTTCTCTTTACAATGTAGCACGAGTTATGGTTAGTTCTTTTGTTTTGACTTTTGAAATTGCCTGCTAATACGTGATGTGCAAGCGATTTCTGTTTTTTCTTGTTAAGTACAAAGCTACACGATGGGCTGTTTGTGCTGTGTCCAACACAGATATCAAAACCCGGTTTTTAGCGTTATAAACCTTTGGACTTACCGCTGAACCACTGGTTGATATGATAATATTTGAAAGTAATGATAAAACTGTGCTGACAAGCCATGTGACAAGTTAGCTAACACTGTAGAAAGTTGATAAAGATGAAATCATTTTTTCTCTCGTTTTCTAAACACAAGATCGGATATTTACAAATAGATTCAATTTTGCCGTTTTTATCTTTAGAGTAATTGGTGACTTATTTACATTTGTGATGGTTTAATATAGTTGATGTGAAGGTGTCCATAGTAGATCAGTGGTAATTTTACGGATTTACAACGCTACAATCCGGGGTTCGATTCCCCACGTAAGACAGAAAGCAGATAGTCCATTGTGTAGCTTTGCTCTAAATAAAACAACATTTGAAGGTTATTACTTTAAAATACTAGCCTCATTTCATGAGAATACAAGTTATGAAGAAATTGGTATTTTTTTTACAGACTATACAGTATAAAACATTACACAAAATGTAGGGTGTTAAGTGTTTTAATTTCTCTCAATAAGTCACTCCCACTTGTATTCATTTTTTGTGATACTTCTTTTGCTTTATAAATATATCTTTTCATCGTTTGTGGCACATTACAGAAGTTGATTACGTTATATTAAAACAGTTTTAGAGCCTTGTCACGTTGTTACAGTCTCTGTCGCCACGTCCTGTCATGGTTTATCTGACGACCGTGAGTCGTGACAATAGCCATGTAGTGTAGTCCATTGTAAAATGCCCTGTCGTAAGTTTTCTATGTTCAAAGCATATCTCTCTTTCCCATTATCAAATTATTGTACAAAGATGACAGTTTCTCATCGCCCGTTTCAACATTCCGATGACAAAGAAATCCACAGATTCTGCGTCCGGCAGTTTCACCGGTATATTTTTATATGGAATAGCATGGATATCTGCGTTAGTAAAAGAGTAACCCAAGAGTTGGCGGTGGTGGTGATGACTAGCTGCCTTCTTTCTGGTCTTTCACTGCTAAATTAGGGACGGCTAGCGCAGATGGCCCTCGTGTAGCTTTGCGCGAAATTTACTGTAGCTGCTTGAGGTATGCGACATTGGAACTGGTAGGTCATGGAACCAACTTGTTTACACTTGACTTGCGTCTCTCTTGCAGACGCATATCCGTATTGATTATGTCGGTACTATTATCTGAGATACATGGACAGCTTTTGCCACTGGCTTTTGTGTTTGTTACAAGACGCCACACTTTGTTCTTATTATCTTTCTCCTAGTGCCCCAAGTTCATTCAAATCTAGCCCGGCTTGGCCAGGTGGTTGGGGCATTCGACTCGCAATCTGAGGGTCACGGGGTTTGAAACCCCGTCCCACCATACATGTTCGCCATTTCAGCCGTGGGGGCGTTATAATGTGACGGTTAATCGCATTATTCGTTGGTAAAAGAGTTGGCGGTGGGTGGTGATGACTAGTTGCCTTTCCTCTAGTCTTTCACTACTAAATTAGGAACGGCTAGCGCAGATAGCTCTCGTGTAGCTTTGCGCAAAATTCAAACCAAATCAATCATTGAAATTACTTTGTTTTCTGATCTTATTATCCTGTAATGGATATACTAAACCCTTGACTTGAAACTTCTTATGATCTCAGTGTGGATGAATATTTTGTGTCGGAAAGGATTGTTATATAGCCTTCCCTAAAGCAATCAGTTTTCGGTGCCATCACATTACCTACAAAATGCCAAATGATATCAAAATGTAGTTTTAATACATGCCTTTCCGCCACTATGTATCGGTTGTGATAGTCACGTAACTTACTGTCTCGCATAGTTCAAAATCGTTTGAATATAACGCAGTCAACTATGTATTAGCTTTAGACTATCAGTTACGACCACTGAACCAGTAAACATATGCTGCTAAACCTGACCTAACATGAAGAGATGAAAATAGGCTTAAATAAGGACATTTAAATTTACTGCTATAGGAGAATAACTTGAAATGAAAGCTCACATTAGAAAATTAAACCCGTAAAAGTAGGTTTAAATTTGGGTACAGTCTTCTGTTTGGAAACTTTGTGAAAGATTTAAAGAATAAGTCTTCTTTGTATAATTTGATTAGGAAACTTGATTTTTTAATTTTTGAATGAGGCCTTATCTTTTGCTCTCATTTTAACAGCTGAATTAAATAGAATTTACAACGCTGGAATGAAACCAGTTAATTCTACAAAAAAAAAAAAGTATCATAGAAGGTTACCAGTAATTTTCCTAAAGGACCAACTAGGTAGTAACCCGCATTGCTGAAACTATTTAGTCAAATTTTATACCGTTTTATTGTTACTAAAGGCTAAATAATAATAATAAAAATAATAGAGTCACAGATTGACTGAGAAATGGAATGGGATCAGACAACACTAAAAAGTAAAGTTAACACCATGTAACGTAGAAAGTAGCAGTTCACTAACTAACTATACACCTGGAAAAAAGTTAAGCACCCCCGTGTTTTTTTCAAGTGA